AGCAGAAAGGGGGGGACCCCTCTTCCCTAAGCCGTGGCTCGTCAGAAGCAATCAGCTCATCGAGGGGAAAAGATGAAGGCGGAGGCCGGGGCTGATGGATCGGGCCTGACAGCGGATCTCCGGTGTGATTCCTGGGTGGGCTTCGTCGGCTCGCCCGCACAGCGTGCAGAGCACGCACGATCGCATGGGACGGGCTTGCTAAAAAAATTAAATAAATAAAAAGAGGGAAGCCATATTTATTTTCGTCATTGTGGATTTAAAAAATTGAGAAAGCCACTCTTTTACAGCAGAGAAAGAACATGGAAACTCAGGAAGGTGGTGCAGGCGGTGATTCCTCTGGCAGCCGTCTTCTGTTCCCCCCCCCGCCCCATGACACCCCTTGGCGTGGGTTCCAGGCGATTCTTTTGGACAAAAAGCATTAAAATTAAGAGGAAGCCATGAGTATTACAGGGAAATTAATTGTCAGAGGAAGGAGTCCAGAATCGGGGTCCGGAGGCAAAGCCGAGGTCCCGTAAACAAGAGTCCTACCGAAGAGTCAGGCAAACGAGGTGCGGGAGATCCAAGGCCTACGTGCCGGATGATCCACAGCCAAACCACTTTGGTAGCAACGGCTGTCTACAAGGGGAGTCCCAGAAGTGTAGCCAAGCCAATCTAAACACTTGCAAGGCTGTTGTATGGATAAAGCGAGGAGGAGAATGATGTACTGTATCTCGTAGTCACTGGAGGAAAAAGTTGCTTGACTACAAGCAAGCAAATAAAAATAAACAAAGGGCAGTTCAGATCGCTTGCCCCAGAAGTTTGACATGGTCTTCATACCAAACAGCCAGTACCAGGGAGGTCCAGCTTCCACAAAACCCCATCTGGCTGTTCTGAAGCCTGCTCTTGGTGGGACATCTGTGAATTCCCCCTTTCAGAAAGGCACAAAGCATGACAGGAGGGAGCCCAAACATCCACCTGCCTCAGCAAGGGAAGGGCCAGGAAGTTCACAAACAGGGGTGGGCAGGGGGTGAAGGCTGTTGGTCCCGGGTATATAGTCCCGGGACTCCACCGCCTTTACCCCCTCACCGGGTATATAGCAGGTGGTAGACTGCTACTGAACAGGGATGCACCATCTATTTTTTAAAATTATTTGAAAATTAAATTTTTATATATTTTTTATTTTTTAATCTTATTTTTAAAAAATAGGTACAAATCAATGGTGATGAGAAAGAGGCATCCTTTGGTCCTGACACACATTCATGAACACACATAACCCATTTCCACCCTCTCCAAAAGAAGAAGGTGAAAACACAGTCACCCACGCACGCGCCCTGTTTTGAACAATAGGTTGACTGGTGGAACAAGACACAATATTTTTTGTTGTTTCTTTTCTATTCTTTTTCCTTTCTTTCACTGAGACCCCCTGCTTGCCGGCGAGGCAGGAAGGCAGCGGCGGTTCCATTCTTGGCCTGCCAAGGGCTTAATTCCTTGAGCCACAACAATGATAACGAAGGAAGGGGGGGGGATCTCAATATTTTTCCCGGACTCCTTTTCTGGCCTACTCATGGTAGCGTGGCACAATCTTGGGGTGGCTATTCAGCCATCGCCACGGCAACCGGCCTCCATCCATGCCCGTCGGACAATTAGAGGTGGCTTAACCCTCCCCAAAGAACTTAAAATGATCATTCCTATTTTATTTCTCTCTCCCCCCCCCACTCCTGAAAATCCCCTGGGTTATCAATGTCACTGCTCTCCGCGAGATCCACAACCTTTTTTTTCACCTTTTGCAGGGTTTTGTAAAATAGGTGTCGTGGCTCCCGCGCCTCATTTTTACGGCGTGGGGG